CCTGTGAGCTGTGCGGATTGTCCCAAATGAGTTGTTGTCGAAATTTGGGCGAGTTCGCAAGCTTGCCGAGTTCCTCCAGCTGCTTCATGGAAGTTGCACCAATGCGCGCCGTCTGGCGCACGCAGGCGTGTCGTTCAAGCTGGTTGAACGCCGTGGCAATGAAGAGAGGATCATCGAAGCGGCCGTCGTAAAAGCGGAAGAAGTGACGCAGTAGCGCTGGATTCATGCTTCCTTTTGGAGCTCCTATAGTATAGAGCAGCATGAACGCATTGTTGTTGGAAGCATTGTGCCATACCTTTGCCGAGCATAAACAAATGGGGGAAAACACATGCCATGAGTGCGTCGTTTTGGTCCCACTCGCAAATCGGATCGTCGTCGCTCGTGACGACAGCCACCAACGGGTCGCTAGTGCTGCCTGGAGCTTGGTTATCAACGTCCGTGCTACCAATGTGCGGCGACCGGAGGACATCGACTTGATCGTCGCTTGTATTGACGTGCCCGTATTGGTCGTCATCAGACGCGCGCTCGGTCACTAGCCCAGCGACAGCCTCAAGCGCGTTGATGATTTCGTCGTCGTCGTCGGCGACATCCGGCCCATCGCAAACCTCGTCGTTGTCGATGGTGTCGTCTGGGCACACAATGTCGCAGAATGCATCAAGGTACGCATTGACTGTCTTGTTGACGGCAGACACTTGGGCGAGGACAGCCGAGTATTCGAGACTTGGAACCGATGCGATCCGGTCATATGCAGTGGCCGGTTGCGTGGTGCGTGCAACGAGAGTGCCTCGTTGCACGAGGCACATGCAGCGATGCGCCCGGATCCGGCATCTCGCTGGCGTCTCCTGACAGCGTGCAGCGTCTGCCTAACCAACTGCATCCCCAACAGCTCGCAAGATGCGTTCGCAAACTGCGTGACCACCGGGGCCGTTAAGTGACTCGTCGTGGCACACATGAGCGTCGGGTTGCCCGAGCAGTAATTGTGAAGTGCTGCGATGGCTAGTTTTGGGTGCTTGGTAAAGTTTTGCGACGCTGCGATCTTCAAGCCGCACGACCTTTTCTTCGTGCGTCTCGGTGGCCTTCTCGACGGCGC